ATCGGGCATATCCGCCTCGGAAACAGTGGCAAATTTACCACTAACAGCTCTTGAGCTATGCCACAGTGCGTGGGCAGACGGCGAGATCCGGCGATTACATCCAATGTCCGCTGCGACGAATCACGACGTTCTACAGCGCCTAAGACTAGCATTAGGAGCCGATGGTCTAGATGAGGTTGTCTGTGCAGTTTGCGATCGAATCACACTCCGTAGGTCGATGCACTTGATTGATATCGCCGATGAAGACCACATCCATGAAATGCGTTCGCTACTCGCGAGTCCCAATGAAGATTTGCCGGTAGAGCTGGTCGCGGTTCTCGTGCTTGCACGATATGCTGCTATCGAAGGGTGGAATTTACGGGCTGGATATTTGCTAGTCGGCGATGAGTGCAATGTCAGTCTAACTAAAATGTCGATCCCGAAGTTCTCCATCAAGAACGGATTCTATGTAGGCACGCTGCCGACCTGATTCGCGTATATGACGCTTCCCGAGCGATTCATGACCCAAAACGTGTCTATCGCTGCGGTCACACGCGTAATGCGGGGCGGTACTCACCGTGCGATTCGAACACATTGTTTGGCATTCGATTCTATGCCGGATCTACCCGCGACGCTCCTGCCGATTCCCGTGCTTAATATTACGTGCTATCGTGTCGTATTGGCCGGACTGTTTACGACCGATCAGCAGGCGTGCATCTGCCAGATGCACCGCGTGCGCAGGCAGATTGTCGACGACGTATTGGGTTTCTACCAGCAGCACAATGGCTTCTACGAACACGTTGACATCGACTTCTCAGGGGTCACAGACGACGTCATCGCAGATAATTTCATCGTCGAAGATGCTGATGCTAATGTGGAAGCCATGGAAATAGACGCCGATCACGACCGGGTGGGCAACGTGTCGGAGAACGATGTGTCAGCTCGCGAGACCGATTTCGTTGAGCGTCGAGTTGTGTTCATTTCGGACGACCGAGAGGTTAGCGCGCAGGACGCCTCTGTTGCCGCCGAGTGTCCGACACCGACCGCATCGCAACCGCAATTTCTCGCTCGTCATTCAAGTCAATATGCCCACCGCGATGACGCGCTCTTTGCGCGTATGTTTCCCTACTTGTTCCCTTATGGCCGACGCCACCCGGGCGAGCACCGTTATGTTCCTGTTTCAATGTAGGCATGTATACGGTATTACAGCATGCAGAGCTCGAGGCGTTGCACCGAGGATGAACTGTTCATGCTCGCAAGTTTCGACTACCTGTCCATCCAGAAAATGTATACCCATGTAGCCCGTAAGTGTCGGCGACATCCTGCTGTATTTGAACGCTACAGCAATATCACCGAAGAAGCGCTGATGCAAGCGTTGACTGAAAGGGAGATGCAGCGCCAGGGACGCACAACGCATTCACGAAGACACGGCTCCAGCACGACCGACTTGCTTCGAACGGTCGAGTTGTATGGTAGTGCAATGTGGGGGAGCGATGGTGCACGCGCACAATGTCGACAACGGGCATTCGCCTATCAAGCACGGTTTGGGCAACCAGCGTTGTTTGTTACGCTGACACCAAACGTTGCTGAGTCGTTTGTGATGGCGCAGTACTGTGGTGTCACGTCCATTGATACACGTTTTGATGCCAGGTTGGCTGAGCCACCTGGACGAGCAGCTCTTCACAGCGCGAGCATTCGCGACGTTGCTTCTGCTCGACTATTCGTGCGAAACACCGACGCCTTCATTGAGCGCGTGCTTGGCATACCGGCTAACCGCATGAAAACGAAGCCGTTCGGCGGCCTTTTCGGAGACGTAAAAGCGTATTTCGGCATGGTCGAAACCCAAGGCGGTGGAACCTTGCACGCTCACTTCTTGGTATGGCTAGCCGATGTGCCGCCGAACACCGACGCATTTGACCGGGCATTAGCTGTCCATGGGGATCAATATATTCGAGACATCGAGGCATTCACCGATAGCGTCGTGACGACGTCGATGCCGCTGTGGGCTGCAGAATCATCTTGTATTTTCTGTGGCCATTCATACGCCGACCTCCAGGAACTGCTGATCCCGCCCGAGGCCTATGAAGACCCTAAGAAAATACACTGCGATCACGATCGTCCTTGCGGCGAGCCGACGCTTGTGAAATGTTCGGGTCGTGCCACCGCTCTCAGCCCCCAGCACGTTATTCGTCTCCTTTTGTTGGATCATTGGCCAGCATCGTGGCCGCCCCCCCCCATGCGTCCATACTCGTCCAATGAGCTGGCAGCAGCCGTGCGAATAAGGACACCATGTCGTGGAAGTGCTGCGGCTTCAAAGTCCGCGGTCTATCGCCGCTACTTGCATTTTTTGAGGTGCAAAAGGACGCGAACGACGACGGCACTAACGACGATACCGACACATACGGCAATTTCCTACGAGGTTTGAATCGTGCTCCGAGTCGACGTGCGTGACGGTGATCCCGTCGGTAGAGATCTCGTCTTGTTGCCTCCGTCGGTTGACGATGAGCGACTTGCACCTCACGCTCTCGCCTTCGCGGTATCACTACTTGTCTTCAGCTAAATCTGCACTGGTGGTCCCACGTAGGGAGCTGTTTTAAAAAGCGTCGCGCTGCATTGACCAGACGATGTCACTACGGTTATCCACGCCCTCGCGTTGAACAAACATGTTGCTCGGGTGATGGCGTGACGCTCGTGCGACGAGCCCCGTTCGAGTACGCTAATGGTTTCAACAGCGATATGATGCTGGTGCTTAAGTCGAATCACGACACCCAAGTATGATCGGAGGGCCAACGCGCTGATGCGCATATACTACGCAATACAGTACGTGACGAAGATGCAAGAGCACGTCGACGCGATCACGGCGGCTGCTCTCGCCGCGTTTCAACGGCATCGGCTACGAGAAGCGCGTAATGAAGAAATCACTGCTGTTGAACGAACAGCAATCGGGCGAAAACGCGTTTCATCGCTGCTCTATGCAATCTCAAACCGACGTGATATCGCCGGACCGCTTGTCGCCCTCTATGTGCTACCTCACTGTAGGCCAAGCAGAGGCCACAAGAGCACTCCGTGTTCAGCACTTCCTCTTCGAGGTGTGATCGATGAGCTCGTCGACCAATCTGCGCATGTTTGTGATCTTCTCGAGTTGCGGGAGCATGCCTCGAACATGACCTTCCGCGCGGCGTCGATCCTAGATGACTACATATTTCGGCCATCGACATTGGACGACTTCAGCCTGTACGAGTACGTAGCCGCAGCCGTCCGTCGTAAGCGCGCGAACTCGCCTTCAGGGCATGTGTTGTTCCTACCAGACCACCCACTCTTCGACACCCATTGCGTCGGTACACACTTTAATGAGGCTGTTCCTGTCGTCGTTGGCTTTCGCATGCCATACGTGGATGGCGATTCACCTCACGAGCTCGTTGTAACGAAAAACCGTTGTGTTCTCGATTACTTTAATTAATTCCGTACCGTGTCAGACCTGGTGACCGATCCAACCAACGGCGCATGCTGGATCGAGACGTTTTCGCAAAGGAAGCCCACGCGTTCGAAGTTTACTTGCGAGGTTATGGCTAACATGGACGATTACCACATAGCCTCAAAGCATGCAAAAGAGTATGCTGAAGCTTGTGTCGACGACGTAGCACTTCTTTCCACTGGTGCGAAAATCCGACCCGTCTGTTTCTGGCTAAATCAGTACATTTTGCCCAGTGAGCGCTAAGACCCACCGAAGCGAAGCGTAGGTCGGGGGCGCGGCGCGTAGCGCGGAGTACATGTACAAAAACGAAGGTTCTATCTATACCGGAGCCATCGAAGCGAAGCAGAGGTCGGTGACTAGGGAGCGCTCTAGCGTAGCGAAGCGAAGCGGGCGCGGCTTAGCGCCTCGCCGCGATCAGCGGCGATACGTACTGAGATACGTTGTTAATACTCGATTAAGTACGAATCGCACAGATTTTTGCACGGATTCTAGATGCTGTCGCACCAGTGGGAGAAGTCAACGGACGGGCCCACCGCGACGCTGAGAGTGATGACGACGTCGTTATCGGGACACAAGGCGATGTTAATGCTGCACTTGACCGCGCAGTCGAGTTCGCATCGGCAAATCCTGTTATTGATACGTTTGACCATTTTTTCGATGCCTGCAATCACGATAGTATAGATGGCGATACCGCGATGGACGAAAAAACTGGTGAGTCGATTCAGCCGGGTTTCCAAGTTCAAGACAGAATGGCGACTATTCTCATTTGTTGAATATGGTGGTGAACGGTACGGCTGGCACGACCGCAAATTTGTGTAGCCAGAATTCAATTCCCAACTTTTCCATCGACGAGATCCAGCGATTTGTGAAGGACACTTCAAAGGACGAGACCGAAACACAGAGGGCGGAGCAATACCTCGACGAGCGGCCCACTGAAGTCATCGAGCTCCTTAAGAACGCATTAGAATCAGGACATGAGTGGTCGCCACCGACTCAGCCGAGCAGTAGCCCACGCATGATCCAGTCCAATACGTCAATTGATGAAGTGTCGCGAGCATTCACACTCAACCAGCGGCAGCACGCGGCATTTGCGCTCATCACGACCGTTTTACTCCGGCGCTTTCTGAGTCAAGAGATCAACGGTCTGCAAATCCAAGGCGACTATTGTTCCAGTAGCTTCGAAGACCACTTTTACGACAACCAGCTGCTAATGTTCCCCGGTGGCGCCGGTGGCACCGGCAAAAGCCGCGTGGTAGACGCAGTTGATGCGTTCTGCGCGAGCTGGCACTGCAGTGACACCGTCGCCAAAGCGGTTCTAACGAGCAAAGCTGCAACATTGATCGGTGGACACACGCTTGCGATCTCTATGATGCGCTTGAAGCACGCCATCCGCGAAAAGCACTTCGGGTCGCCCAGCCTGCTCGTTGTCGACGAGATTTCAATGACGAAAAACCCGAGTGGCTACGGCTGGATAAGTTGCTGCGCTGCTACAAGCGGATGCCCAACGTGCCGTTTGGTGGTGTGCACATAGTGCTAGTTGGTGATTTCATGCAGATGCCGCCCGTGAAGGCGGACCCCATTTACCTTGCCCTCCTGTAAATCGAAAGCCGACAACTGCCGACGCCGAAGGATTCGACCTGTGGCGAAAATTCCCCACCGTCGTACTGCTTGAATAATCGGTGCGCTTCCGGAGCGACCCCGAGTGGGACGACGGCTGCCGCCTCGCACGGCTCGGTAATGGGACGCCAACATTCGCCAAGCTCATCAATAGTCGAGTAGGCGCACGGCCTAACGAGCACGCTGCTGCTGCTGCATCAGCAGCGGTAGCAAGGAACGACAATGTCGGCGCCCATGCTGTATTCGTGACGCCAGAAAACGCCACACGACTAGCTGTAAACAACGCGTTCCATGCGCAAACAGCGACCATGTTGCCGACCGATTCTTTTCCTGTGCGCGTTTTCGCCAACGTCAAGGGCGCGCTCAACGGACTCAGCAACAGCGACATCAAGAACGTCTTCAGCCTCCCCGACAACCGCTTCGGGCGCATGGCGCCCTACTTAGACCTTATCCTCGGCATGCCCGTGCAAGTTACCCATAACGTCGCCACCGCCAAAGGCGTCGCAAACGGCACGTTGGGCACCCTTGCGTCCATGCACTGTCCACCGGACACGTCGTTTCAACTCGTGCGCGACGGCGGCACAAACACCATTATACAGCTGCCGAGCCGATCACCAGATTACGCGGTATTTCGCTTGCCACAGCGACCGCACACCGTGACGATCCGGCCGGGTCTCGACTCCGATCTCTTCACAGTGTTCTTCGCCACCGAAGCGTATCCGAAAGTAATTATCACGCTGCCAAAAGCGCCGGACGGCTGTACGCGTCCAATCACGGTCAAACCACAACAACGTTTGTCTGTGCAGTGGGGTCTACCGTGTACAAAGTACTGGGAGAGACGCTGCAGTCAATGATCGTCATGGGCTGGTGATCCAAGCAGCGGATCGTCAATAAACCGCAACAAACCTAGCTGCTAGTGTCTCGAGTGACGTCGAGAAACGCACTCGTTCCATTAAGACCATTCACAGACAAGCTTGCAGCCTGGTCAAAGCCACCTGCAACCGCAATCAATGAAGAAGTACAGCTCAACCACCTCAGTCACGCGACCTTACCAACATTTCAGTCGTCACTAGTAGCCAAAACAGCCACTACAACCGCCAACACACTAACGTGAAGTCACTTCGAGCTGTCATGAGAAGTAGTGCAGCATCAGTATATATTAACGCGTGTACTACATAAATATATCATGTGTCCTTGCCTACCTTTTGTTAAGACCGCCAGATCTTCTGACACTGATGTGGGCACCTGAGCCTCTGATACTGATGTGAGCACCTGTTCCTCTCAAGCCATCAATCGTTCGCCTTATGCTGCTGCCCAGTGTCCTCTCAGCCGAACACTTCTCGAGCTGCACGACGTGCACTCGAACGTTAATGCCCCTCGTGTCGTCCACCGTGAAGTGATCCACCGTGAAGGTCACTCAAACGTCGTTCCTGGATGTATGTCGTCGCTTGCGTGTTGAGCGATACCAGACAAACGACATTCTCTAAGTTGCACATCTGCTGCTGTTGGTTGCGCTACGGTTGCTGTCAGTTGCTGTCAGTTGCAGGAAGTTGCTGTAGCGATGTCGTACAAAATGTTGTTCCATCACGCCACCGCTGCGGATAACCGCGCCAACGACAGTTCTCACTACGTTCGAGCTGCGGATTATTAACATAAGGGCAGCCTGGATTGAGTGACATCTGGACTGTATTCAATATCCGCTGAGTGCTCAGTTGTGACACCGTCGAGTCTCTTGCTGCCATACATCACGTGACCCAGTGTTCGTCGCATGAGCATCTTCGAAGGTGCTGTATCTTTGTTGACGGGCGATTATCTGCAACTCTATAGATAATCACTACACCACAAATCCATTCCAAAATTTATCGGCAGTGACCTTATCGGACCTGTACCAAAACTATAAAAATGATTGTCAACAAAGAATTCAGATTTCGTGGAAACGACATAAAAATGTGATTTGCCGTGTTCAGGGGTCTTATACGCACACTAAATACAAGACTGCTCTAGATGCACTCGAAAAAGATTTTCACAAAGACGTTAGAGAGTATTTGGAGAAACTTGCACCTGTTCAGTGGTGCGCTTGGACTGATATCCGATGCTGTGAAAGCTAGGGTAGTCGAAGGACGGGACTGGATTATACCAGACCCCATGTTTGAATGGCGCAAAGCGAACTTTGTCAAAAGCGACAATAACGTTATGCTGACCAATGGTCTTCGCCGGCCGACTCCCTTTGAATGTTGCAGCAAGCTATTCAGTCGATGATCCACCGCGCAGCTGCACGACGCCAGCTAAGTTTAAAGTCGATAAAATTAGGCGTTGTTACGCACCTAAAGCAGCAAAACTTCGCGACGATGAGCGAAGGAACGCCGGGGCATACCAAGTAGTCGAAAGTACACCTACTATCTTCCTAGTGAGTCGGAAAGAATTTGGTTTCTAGCGTAAAGTTGACTTAGAACTGTTGGTTTGCTCGTGCACTACCTTCATCAAGTTAAAATTCCGTGTTGACATCTCATTGCTGCGCTGCGAAAAACTGAAATGGCGTAAATTGAAAACGATATTTCCCTTTCAGCTTACAGAGTGTCGACATACAGCGCTGAATTTGCAGATGCGTCCCTCAAAATTGCTGCATATGACGCCATAACTTCGGATACGAGAATTTTGTCATATCCTTATTACCGTCTCGCAGGGAGACCGAAGTCGCGACGCATTAGGGGCGGAGGAGAAGCAGTGGTGAAACAACTTATCGCTGCAGGGGGTGCAGTCATAAATCTGGTCACGACATTTCAACGTGCCCCAAATACGCTGCTACGATACTCAATGCCGATGTTAGCGCCGGTGCGATTGTACTTCCGAGAGCTTCTCGCCGCCTGGGGTCCACTACTAATATAACGACCGAGGCCGTTGATGAATTAGAGAACGGAAATATCCAGCAAAATAGAAACAGCAAATTCGATACGCGCATGAATATTGTGTATCTTTTGGTTGAGCGATTGAAGATCAATCCGCTTAAAGTGCCAAGTTTATGAATATAACTCTTCATTAATACACATTGGCTTACACATGCCAGTGCGTCCTGATACTGGAATAAAAGCACGGGATTACACGCAGCTAAGGTGGATATACACAAATGATAATTATAATATTGTAGTGCTCCACTCACATATCCGACATCGTGCTACCCACAATTGTCACAAGGTATTTAAAGCCTAGGCGGACTACTCCATCAGCATTGGTGGTCTCAATCAAGTTAAGACGCAGGTCAAGGCGAAAGATAGACTACATATCTTGGTTTCATCGATCGTGGCACTAACAGAACCGGTGCTTCATCCTCCGGTGATTATTAACCCGTAAAACCATCAGCGTATCCTAATGTTGGCTAGCATAGTTGTTTATCAAAGCCAGATCTAAGTTGTAGACACCGGTAGATGACATACCTTAATCACCAAGCTGAAAAAGGAGATAGACACAACTGGTTTCCTTCACTTGAGCGTTGAAGCTATGTCGCTGGTTATAGAGCTCGCAAAGCATCACATAATGATGAATGATGCCGCCATCGCTCGCCAAAGCGCTTGTAGAAGCGTCACTTTCTGAATTAGACGGCGTTTAATTTTTAAAAAAGTTCTAGGGGTTAACCCCTTCAAACCGGGAGCCTGCATATGCAGCTTTTCAAAAATGCTTATCCTGCATAATGCAGGTTAAGCTCAAATATGACTTAAAGTTTGTATAGTTACTTTTTTTTCAAATCCTCGGCTATACAAAATCTAAGTAAAAAAGAACCCTACAAGTGCAGGCTCTCTGTACGTGTGGTAGCATAGAAGATACACATAACAAGCGACGAGACAGATAATATTTCTCTAAATTTGAATATAAGATATAAAAGTTTATGTGGTAAACATGAGTTTTACATTATTTTCCAAAGGTAATTTTTTCGCTCCCTCTCCAGCCACTCATTCGAGAATTCGCGCTGGAAAAGAACGGAGCCAGGCTCTCTGCATGAAATGGTTGCTGTCCGAGGCAAGTACGTGAGCAGTCAAAACATCCCGTTTGGTGTGGCGTGGAAGGAGCTGAAGAAGCAGGGATGGACATCTGTAAGACCGCGAGCGAAGGACTTAAATCTGAGATGGAAGTGCGTTCGCCCTGGCGGACATGTTAACGGCACAAAAGGCATCGACTTTTTTCTTGGGGAGGAAGAGCTGTTGGAGTACTACAGTGGTGGTAAGCGAGATGGTGGCGATTGCTGGCTACACAGTCTAACCAATTGTTTGTATGATGTTACAGCTTCCAAAAAGCCTTCGTCTACCGGTTCTGGCCCATTCCAAACGCCACTAGCACCTCCTGCTGATCCTGCTGTCACAACAAGATCACCACCCGCTCAAGCGGCCACCACCCAGCCCACGTCTCCACTTCAACCTTCTTCAGGTACTCAGCAGCCTTTGACGCGACAAACGCAAGTGAAGCGCACTCGAAAAGTGCCCAAGCCGCCTGCCACGGACAAGCAGAAACGTCGCCGCTCATGTGAGTTCCAGTTGCATATTCATGATATGATATGCAGGATATGCAGGATAACTAACTAGCATTATGCATTAGCTCATGCAGTACATCCGCCCGAAGAAGCCCGTACGCTATCCTGAATATTTCATCGACCACATGCATATTGATGCAGTCTAACGCTTGTGAATGCACTATAGTTGACGACGCCACATCTGATGAAGAAAAAGCGCCAGTGCCAGTAGCTGAACCCGTTACTCAAGTCGTCGCTCAAAACCCCATCGTGTTGCCAGGTCCTCATGGAGGTGACGAAGAAAATGTTGAATCGGGGGACGAAGGGTATTCCAGCGTTGAGTCTGTTGAAGAGAACAACGAAACGGGTATGTCTTACAATGCGATTCAGTGCGTATGCTGCATATTCATGATACCTTATACTGATTATTCATGATAACGATTTTTTATGCTTGTGTTACGAAGATATACTTGCAGAAACAACTGACCGGTTGAATGTGGACGCCCCGGGCGGAAGAGACCCCAACTATGATGCAGTTGAATCTGGCGATGAAGCGGCAAGGGACGACGTTGTCACAGATACCCAGTCTGATTGCAGTGGTTGGGTATCAAATGCCAGTGCGGCCGATGGATCGGAGCCGGACCCTGAACGAGACGAGATGGATATTGCGCTGGCAAAAGAATTTCTGGATGGATTTGGAGGCACCGACGCTGTGTTGGCGGCTAACTTGCTGGACAGAACACTGAGAGAGTTTTCGACTAGTGGATGGGGCCCAATTCAAGAACCGGATGTGTATGAGGAGCTACAGACGCCTTACGTTCCTGTTGAAGGCGCTAGTAGCTACCCGGGACTTCACCAAGGCTATTCCGGACCCACTCCTGAAGTACTGCATCGTGGGGGACTCGCCTATGGCGTTGTTCTTTTACTTCATG